TGATTGACGAATGATGAAATATTTGTGTTTTTTAAAAGAAATAAACCCTTTTTAAGAGTAAAAATAAAAATAAAAAATAAAAGTAGAGGTATGATGATGTTAATATAGTAAATATTTGAGTTAAGATATTTGAATTAATATGAATTATATTTGATGACAGTGGAAGAGATGCACAAAAGCTTTTTGTAACCAGCTGATATACTTTCTACAATATATGTTTGTTTTGAAAATAAATAAATAAATAAAATTAAAAAAAAAGAAAGGGCATAAAACCATGGATTTTCAGCATCTCTGTCTCTTTTTCTTCTTCACCCAACATCTGAAAGCATGTGATCCCCCTTTTTTGTTCAGGTGCTCAAGCCATGTGGTCCTGTTCACCATTAAACCATCTTTCCAAGCAGCCTCCATGTTTCCAATGTCTTTTTCCCTACTTGGAACTGACCCAAAATTGGATTGGATTCCTAGTCTTGGGATATGAATGACAACCAGTTTGGTGTGGTGACTAAAGATGCTGCCCAGAAACCAGGAGACTGTGAATTCCAAGCCTCCATTAATCATAAAAGCCAGTTGGATAACTTTCAATCAGTTACCCCCTCTCGGCCTAACCCATCTCACGGGGTTGTTGTTGTGGGGAAAACAGGAGGCAAGAATACCAGGAGTCCTTGCCTAGTTTAGCAATCATTCAGAATTACAATGATTAAAAATAAGAAAGACCACTTTGGATTCAATTGTCCGACCTGCCTCAGTCTCATTCCTTAGGGAAGCAAGACTCTCGACTCTTTTACTGATTGCAGGAGAATCAAGCAGACTCTAAAATTGCCACACGCTAATACAGAATTAAAACTCCTAGTTTCTCTAAGCCTCTCCCCACACATGATCTGTCCATATATAGCCAAACCAACACCGCCAAGATGTTATGAGAAACTCTGAGATGTTTGAGCTGGTGAATTTCCACACTCAGAGCAAACATCCAGTGCCAGCACAAACCAGATTCCAACTACCTCAGTTCTTCCTCAATTGTCAATTCCTCCCACCTAATTTTTTGCCTTAAATGTATACAGCAAATTGCCCATTTGTTCCCCCCTCCTTTTCCTTTTATGACAGAATGCTGGGAAGACGCCAAGTTTGTAATAAAGTTTAAAACAACTTTTTTACTTTTTAAAATGTTAGACCTTCTCTTTTACTAGTCTAATATTTAATACTAACAATAAGATATGATAAGAACAAAAAACTTCAATTTTGGTTGCATCAGTGTTTTTTCTGAACATGTGTATCATATATGTTATTTTCCTCATAGCAAAGCAG